AGAAGTCCCCCTTCCCCAGAAGTCCCCCTTCCCCGCGGCTGGTTTGTCGTCCCGAGTCCTTGGCCCACGGCCCTGGGGCCTGGCGAGGGCCCTCCTGCAGGCCACCCGACAAGCACCGTCGCAAGCTGCAGGCACGTCCCCTGCTCCTCCTCCTCCTCCTCCTCCTCCTCATCTTCCCCTCTCATCCTTCTCACTCCTCCTCCTCCTCCTCCTCCTCCTCCTCCCCCTCCCTCCTCCTCCTCCTCAACAGGCTCCCAGGTGCGAGTCGGTGCCTTGGGCGGGCGTGGCATCATGGCGGCGCCGACAACGGCTGCTTCGACTGCGCGGGCAGTCGCGCGCGAGCTGCCCGCGCAAGGTCGTGACGCAGAGAAGCTGCTCCGATGGCGCGGGCAGTCGCGCGCGAGCTTCCCGCGCAAGGTCGTGCGTAAGCTCGGGCTGGGCGAAAGGAGGGGATTGGGAAAGGGGGGATTCCGAAATTTGCTGTATGCAGCTGGTTTCGGCCTCACCGAGGGGCCCATTCCTCGATACATGGGCGCCTCTGGCGCGGGGAGGCGCCGGGAAAATCAGCTACGTGAGCTGATTCTCAAACCCCCCCTTTGCTATCCCCCCTTTCGCCCGACCCGAAGGACGCGGAGAAGCTGCTTTGATTGCGCGGGCAGTCGCGCGCGAGCTTCCCGCGCAAGGTCGTGCGTAAGCTCGTAATCCACCGCGTGCAGTCGATACGCCATCCTACGAAATCAAGGATCGGCCTCTTAGGCGGGGTCCGAGTAGATGGGGTCGGTGCATCGCGCCGCGTCGCCGATGCATCGCTGGTGCAGCTCGATGTGGAGCCCAATTCTCTCCGCGTAGGCGTCGCCTATGCACCACCGACGTCGGCGATGCATCGGGGACCTCCGACCCTATCTACTCGGACCCCATGAACAAGGCCTCCATCAAGGGCAGAAAAAACGCCCCTACCCTGGTTTACGAGGCGCCGTGCGCTGAAACTCCTGTGGGCTGACAGGGTAAACCCTGCGTGATGTGCCGCGTCCTGGCGGCTCTAGGCTCTTGGAGGTTCCCAGGAGGTTTACAGACCACGCACTTGTAACCCAGGGTACAGTCAAAAACCCTAGTAAGGACGCGCGCGACTTTGCTCAGGGTACCCTGGCGTCCTTGCTCTTCCTTGCTCTTGCGTCCTTGGGATTTTCGTCGTCCGCCGCCCAAAAAATCCCAACTTCGGCGTCCAAGGGCCTTGCGTCCTTACCGCACGCCCTTATTAGGGTGTTTGACTGTAGGGTCGTTTTTTCATACCTCAACTCCAGTGACGCCTGTTGCTCTTCGTCGCTCCTCTTGCTCCTGTCTCAGGGCGCCGGCTGTCCAGGGCGCGCCGCCCCCCCCCCCCGCGCAGGTGGTCGCGAGCTGGCTGCAGGCCGGGCCGCACGCGAAGCAGGGTGCGCTCACGAGCTGCGAGCATGTACCAAGGGCTCCCACGAGGGCGCGAAGTTGTTCGCGCTTCGCGGGCCTCGTTCCTTCTTCCCCCCCTCCTCGTCCTCCTTTTCTCCCTTTTGGGCGGGGCGGCGCGAGGGCGCGAAGTGATTCGCGCTCTCGCGGAGCGCGAAGCGCGAAGTTGGGAGCCCCAGGATCCCGCGGATACGCGATCGCACAGACGGGTCCCGCGCGGGGCCTCCGCGACAAAAGCGCCCGGTGTCCGCCACCATTCCGTAATCGTGACACGGTGGTTTGCGGGACGGACATGTGCGTTGACGGTTTGCATGAGCGGCCAACCACCATGTAGATTGCAAAACGGTGGTGGTGGTGGTGGTGGTTAGGCCTGTTTCGGTAGTTTTCCACGACGGAAGCGGATAGCAGTCACCACCATCGCTTTAGCCACCGAGTCGTTGATTCCAATACACAGTCCAGGATGAAGAGCTGGCGCTGAGGGTTATGATGGTCCAACCTACTTTAGCCTTGACCACCAGAAAGAATTTCGAACGCCAACAAAAGTGCCGAAACTCAAGGGATTTCACGGGTTGGGCCCTGGGAAACACTCGCCCGACACTGTTTCGACACTCTTTTGACACTTTTCCGGGTGCTCGAAACTATTTCTGGGATGCGGTCCTTAAGTAGGATGGGAACAACAAAATGTGAGCACCTTGCCAGGCGCGCCTGGCCTCAACAGGTCCCTCGAGTACCTCAGCAGCCCTGGGGCGCGGAGCTCCCGGGGGGCGCCGCCAGGAGCGGCGCCAGGGTGTTACGATTAAGTCGGGCCTGTCCCTCTACAGGAGGATTATGCAAAAATAGATAAATAGTCCGGGGACTGTGTTTTGACAATGTTTGAGTATTTCAGGGTGTCTTTTTTACTATTTTTATTTGTCGTCCAAAATCCCCCTATAGGGGGACACGCCCGACTTAATGTTAAGAACGCCCTGGGCCACTCGGAGGCATGTCGAGGCCAGCCGGGACTGCTTGGTGGGACTGTTTGTTCCTCGAGATTTCTGCGTAGACCACACCCATCCCGCCCCAGTCCGATTCCACCGCCTGGGGCCACGTTTAGTACACCGTTGACAAAAACCACGCCACAGGGAGGGATTCTTGTACCCCAGACCCACGACCAGGACTCAGGGCTGGACCTAAACGGTGGTTTTGGTGATCTCGTGGCCCGTTTGCGTTTCGACTTCGTTTTGCGGCAAAGGCGGAGTCGAGACAGAAGCGAGGGAAAACGAAAACAAAACGAAAACGAAAAACACCGCTTAGGTTCAGCCCTGCGCCAGGACTCTCGCCAGCCCCCCAGGGCTTCCGGTTGAACATCGTATAGGAACGTTGCTGGGCGGATTTGGGCGCCAACCCACGCATTGCGCCGGGGGAGGGCCCCCGTGTCCAGGACCCGTTTCCCTCGGAGCCCGTCGCCCCGGCCGCCCGGACCCGTGGAGGGGAGGATCCCCGAGTTCTTGGCATCGCTCGGACGTGTGCATTTTTCCCTCGGCGGGGACCATCGAGGAGCATCCTTAATCATTTGGCGAACAACGGCGCACGAAGCCGAACAAAAAGACACAGGGAATGGACGTCCGAGCGATGGCCAGATTTCGGGGGCGTCGAAGAAGGGGGCGGAGGACTGCGCCGCACGGCCGATTCATTTGCCGATGCGTCGGCGCCGTCGGCGTGGAGCAAGTCGGGCGCCCTCGAGCCGCGTCGCCGACGCATCGACGATGCGGCGCGGTCCTGCGAGCCCAGCTGCTCGGACCCCACTTGGGAGGCCTGGAAAAGTCGGGCCGGGCGTAAGGGGGGGGGTTGGGAAAGGGGGGGTTACGAAATCTGCTGCATGCAGCTGGCTTCGGCCTCACCGAGGGGCCCATTCCTCGATACATAGCCGCCTCCTGCGCCGGGAGGCGCCGGGAAAATCAGCTGCGTGAGCTGATTCTCAAACCCCCCCTTTGCTATCCCCCCCTTTCGCCCGACACGACAAAGGTCGCCCCTTGCGAAGGGCCACTCTCGCGCGTTAAGCCGAGCCTCGACACCCCCGAGCGGCGTGGCCGGCCACGGAGGACCAGTGCCGGACGGCGACGGAGATGTCACGCAGCAGCACCTTGGGCGATGATGAATGAGTTGGGCTCCATGCCCGATCGTGGACGTCGTGGTCGTAAACGAGATCATGTGATCGTTACCTCCAGCATTGTTCCCAGCGGCAGGGGATGTGATTTGGACCGTTTTTCGCCCGAAGAAGGGGACAACACACAGCCCCACCCCGAGGAGGGACGGACACGAATGATGATGGTGGTGATGACGAGGCAGACGAGGCAGACGAGGGAAGAGGGAGGAAGGAGGGGGGAAGGAGGCAGGGCAGGAAAGAACACGCAGCCCCGCAGAGTAGCAAACAACTGCACAAGCACAATCCTTTTGGAAGTCCGCACCCAGACCGCCGGTAGGGGCCCGATAGCCCACCCCGCCTAGGAACGTGCGGAGTCGCTATTGGGGGTTGGTTCACTGCTCCATTGGCGATGCGTCGCCGATTCCAGGTCGATGCTTTCCCCATGAAGCCGGTCCGTTGACCCTCAGTAGCTTCCGTCTGTAAATGGTTTACCACCGTCCAGCCCTCTGCCGCGCGCCCGCTCCCCCAGTGGCCGCGGTCGACGGCGGCCGACGACAGACAACGGATGCGTCGCGTTTTTTCCTCACGGTGGCGATAACAGATCCCGCCTCCGCCCTCGCCCCCTCCCAATGTGCGCGTTCCTCTCGCGTGGCCCTCCCCCCACCCCACACCCCTCCACCGCCGCCAGACATCCAACGTCGTTGTTCTTGCTCACCCCGCGTCCCTAGACTAGTGGCCTGGACCCCTTCTTGGACACTGGGTTCTCACCCTGAGTAGTTTTGCGGACGGCCCTGGGGCCCAGCGCGGGCTTCTCGAGGCCGAAAACTGCCGACAGCCCCGCGTTTTGATTTTCCACTACCTCTCGGGGTGTCGGCTTTGGCCGGTCTCCCCGCTCGAGCCAGGACCTAGGAGGGGGCCACCTCCAGCAGCGTTCGGAGCGCACGGGGCGTCAGCTCCAACGTGGGTCAGCCGGGTCGAGGTTGGGATCGGCGTGGAGGCAGAGACGTCCCTCCTCGAGCACAGCAGCTTCGGGGCCCCAGCATCTCAGGGCTCGTAAGAGCATAATCACCCACTCTGGGGAAATGCTCCTTTCTTCTTACAGTGCCGTTTTTAGTACATGCTCCGCGTGCGGATCATGAATAAAACATGCAGGGATTTAGTATGAAAAACAACGATGAGCTCATGCATAACTTTATTCATATATTAACCATGTATTACACATCCTATATTTAAAACATCCTATGTATTAAAACTGCCCTGTAAGTGCATAATCCCCCACTCTGGGGAAACTCTCCTGTCTTCTTAGTGATTCGGGCTGCCATGTTTGCGAATGTCGTCGTTCGACCGTCGAGAGACTGATGTGCTCAGCCCCTATGTCTCAAGCAGTGGCGAAGCGTCCCGGCTCGCTTATAGCCCCACCAAACAATGTTCTAAGAACCTTCTGTGATTCCCACGAAATGTTCTGAAAACATTTCTGGCTGGGACTGTCTTGTTTTACACACATCGGGCTTATGTTCTAAGACATGTGTTTTTGTTCTTAGAATAGTTTTGGGTTCTAAGAACATGTCGTGGTATGACTACAGGAATGTCAGGACGGTCGGTTCCTGTTCGAATGTCGGGCCGGACGAAGGGGGGGGGGATTGGGAAAGGGGGGGGGGTACGAAATCTGCTGCAGGCAGCTGGTTTCGGCCCCACCGAGGGGCCCATTCCTCGATATATGGCCGCCTCCGGCGCGAGGCGCTGGGAAAGTCAGCTACGTGAGCTTATTCTCCCCCTTCCCCCCCTTGCTATCCCCCCCTTTCGCCCGACCCGACTCTGTTTTTCAAAGTTTTGGCATCGGGGGGGCTGCCTTCGGGCCCCCTGAGCCCCCGGGGCCATCAGAAATGGATCGGATCGGGAGCGTTGAGACGGGGGTCAATGCAAACGGGGGTCAGCCAGAGCGCCAGATCTTGCAGCATCCTGCAGGGGCAGGGTCGCATTGACTCGTGTTTGGGCGCATGATCCCGCAGGATCCTGCAGGATCCTTCGCATTGACCCGGGTTTGGGTGCAGGATCTTGCAGGGTCTTGCAGGATCTATTGACCCGGGTCTGGATTGACCCGGGTCAGGAGATCCCCGATTGGGGATGAAAGGCAGCTCTCGGGGAAGGGCTCGGGTCGGGGCGTACGTGAATGGGGTCAGCGGTCGGTGTTAGCAGGGGTCAGCCAATCCCTTCCGATCCCGTCTGGCTGAACTGGGCTTGGGAGCAACATAGAGCCTGACCTCCCCCCCACCTCCCTCGGCGGAGTGACCTCAAGTGGATGACGTGTATCTTCCCTGTGAGGGAGACCCTGCCAAACGAAGCGCACCATCGTGAATCGAATGCACTCTGGAGGCCTCGCGCGGCGCGCAATAGTAATAGTTGTATAATCTAGTCCGCACGTCCGCCCCGCCAGATCTGGGACGACGTTCGCGCGGTGATGCTCCGACGGAAGTCCGACGTGAAACCGACGTGGATCTGACGTAAATTGGGGCTCAAGTTGACGCGCGAGGCCTCCAGGATGTTCCCCAGAAGGTGGGCGGACGGACGGGGGGGGAAGGAGTGGCGGGATGAAGGGGGATGGAGCGGGGCCGACGGAGGGGGGAGAGACATGGACGGACAGCGCCTATTTACCCCGCTCTCGTTTCCGGTTGCACCCGCCGCCCAGCATTGGTCAGTGAACATTGGATGCGACCCAGCGCACGTGCATTCCGCATAATTTTCTGCACATTTGTTTGGCCTTCGGTTTTTTATCCAATCTGTGCCGATGCGCCGTCTAGGTGCGCCTTCTTCCTGTCCTGCCTCGCTTCCAGACACAACCTGGTCATGCCGCGCGCCTCCTCGTCAAGGAGCCTGGCTAGCCTGCTTGGGTGGCCGCGTGCGGCCCATCTCTCCCCTCGACTGGCCCATTGTGGCACCGCTTTCGCTGCAGCTCCCCACAGTCGGGGCGCTGAAGAAGGAACCCTTTTCGTCGGGGAGGGGCTCGGTGTTCCATGGGAAATCGAAGGTCGAACTTAGGGAAGGAAGGGGCCTCGTTCCGTATTTGGGGTTCCTGGGGCAGCGCCCCGACTGTATGGGGCCACGAAACGTGTGAGCGATGTGCTGGAATTTGCAGGAAGCCGCACGTGAACCTTGCCACTGGGGCCCCGGTGGAGCTCCGTTTTCGGGCCACGCAGCGTGTGAGGGGTGTGCCGAACATGGCGGGGAGCCACATGCGAACCCTGCTGTTGGGGCCTTCGGAGGAGCTCCCCCTTATGGGGCCACGAAGCATGTGAGGGGTGTGCCGACGCTGACAGGGAACACTCTGCCACTGGGGCCTCTGGGGGAGCTCCCTATGCGGCCACGACACGTGTGAGGGGTGTGCCGAAATTGGCGAGGAACCGCACGCGAAGCCTGCCATTTGAGGCCGTCAGTGGAGTTCCCGATGGGGCCGCGAAGCGTGTCAGGGGTGTGCCGACATGGGCGGGGAACCGCATGCGAACTCTGCCATTGGGACCTTCGGTGGAGCTCCGTTCCGTTTGGGGCCGCGAAGCGTGTGAGGGGTGTGCCGTCATGGGCTGGGAACCGAGGGGTGTGGCAAATGGGCGGGAACCGCATGCGAACCTTGTTGTTTGGGGCTTTGGTGGAGCTTCTTATGAGGCCACGAAGCATGTGATGGGTGTGCCGAAGTGGACGTGCGGAGGGCAGAGGCAAGAATGGGAGGAGGAGCGGGAGGAGGAGGAGGAAGAGGAGGAGGAGGAGGAGGAGGAGGGGAAGACGTGCTGCATTGTCTCACCAAGACGAGGACCCAACAAGACACGGTTGGGGATGCATTGCGTTGGGTGCTCAAGAAACGGCCAAGTTTTCGAGGATCGGGAGGTTGGAATCTCGTCCTCAGTGGATGCGGGCAGATGTAGAACGAGGGCGGCTCCGCCAGCGCAAGCCGGCGCAAGCAAAACTTGCGTACCAAAGAGATGACAGGTTCGGAGGATTCAGCGTCTCCCGATCGGGCCAATTCGTCTGGCGGCAACGAGTATCAATAGATTGTTGCACAGTCTGGGGTCAGCCTTTGCTCTGGCCCAGGTCTTGGTCCAGCACAACGGTGACATGGACCTCGATTTCGAGGAGTTGGACGAGGATTCGCCAGTATCTGCAAGCAGGCGGCACAGGGTGGGCCAGCACGCCATGGATGAAAACATCCATGCCAATGAGGCAAACCCAGTATGCAGTGCATAGTTGTATATAGTGAACGAGCATGGAATCTCAGCTGATAGCCGCAATTACTGTTGGTCAAACGAAAAGCTTGAGCCTCACTGACAGATCTGGTCAGCGCCGGGCCAGACCCGGAGAAAAGTGTCGTCAAGCTTAGCTGGTAAATGCCGACTCTGTAAGTAAAGAACTCAGCATTGCATGGTTCCTCACATATTTCATGTGCTGCGCGACAGAGTTGCGACGAAGTTTAGAACGAACTCGACGAATTCACGCTAAACTGCCAGTGCGCTCTCAGTGCTGCGGGGAACTATTGGGCGATGCTGGAGGACTAGGATCATGGTAATGCTGATGGTAGTGATGCTGATGGTGATGGTGATGATCATGAACAGGATCGTGACAATCATGCTGATCATGATGATGATGACGATGAGGATGATGATGATAATGATGATGATGATGACAATGATGATTTTGATGCTGATGATGGTGGCGATTATGATGAGGATGAGGAGGAGGATGATGACGGTGATGATGATCGTCATGCTACTGATGATGATGCTGTTGATGATGGTGATAATGGTGATGATCATGATGATGACGACGATGACTGCGGTGATAGTGAGGAGAATGAGGATGAGGATGAGGTTGATGAAGATGATGAGCATGATGCGCATGCGGTTGGTGAGTGATAATGGTATTGATGTTGGTGCGGATGCGGATCCGGATGATGATGATGATGATGTTTATGTTGTTGATGATGAATGACGATGATGATGATGGCGATGTTGGTGATGTTGGTGATGCTGGTGGTGGTGATGGTGATGGTGATGGTGGTGATGGTCGTAATGCTGACGATGACGGTGACGCTGATGAGGATGAGGATGAGGATGAGGATGAGGATGAGGATGATGCCGATGTTGATGATGATGACGATGATGATGATGGTGATGATGTGGCCATGTTGATGATTATGATGATGGTGGTGGTGTTGGTGACGACGATGACGATAGCGATGATGGTGATGCTGCTGCTGATGATGATTACGATTCTGCTGCTGAGCATCATTGTGATGATCACTTATGATTATGATCATGATCATGAGTACGATGATGATGTTGTTGTAGATGATGAGGTTGGTGATGAGGAGGATGATGATCATGATCATGACCATGATCACGACGATGATAACACGATTAAGAACAATAGTAATGATGGTGATGATGATGCTGATGCTGCTGCTGCTGATGATGATGCTGCTGCTGATGATGATAATGATGCTGCTGCTGATGATGATAAGGAGGAGGAGGAGGAGGAGGAGGACCAGGAGGAGGAGGAAGCGAGTGATGACCTAGACCTCAGTCGTCTCTGATGGCCCGTTTTGGGCCTGGTGGCAAAACAAACCCACAGTTCCCCCTATTAGTGTGTCCACGACGCGAGGACGTCTGGGTACCAGCGCAGCTGGGGCTGCACCGTCGTGCGCTCTTCTCGAGACAGCAGGGCCGTTTTCCGATCGGGATGGAACAAACAAAAGTGGCGCCGCTTCCGCTGGCGCTCCCTACCGGGCCTCGAAGCGCGTGTGCCGAACGGGGAGGGGAACCGCATACAAACCCTGCCACTTGGGCCTTCGGTGGAGCTCCCTTTCGGGCCACGAAGCGCGTGATGGGTGTGCCGAACGTGGCGGGGGACCGCACGCGAGCCTTCGGCGGAGCTCCCGATGGGGCCACGACACGTATGATGGGTGTGCCGAAACGGGCGGAGAACCGCATGCGACCCCTGCCGCTGAGACCTTCGGAGCAGTTGCCTATGGGGCTGCGATATAGGGGTATGCCGAACTGGGCGGGGAACCGCATGCGAACCCTGCCACTTGGGCATTGGGTGGAGCTCCCTTTTGGGCCACGAGACGTGTGAGAGGTGTGCCGAATCGGGCGGGGAACCACATGCGAATCCTGCCAGAAGCTTTCGGAGGAGCTTCCTATGGGGACACGAAACGTGTGAGGAGTGCGCCGGAATTGGCGGGGAACTTTGGTGGAGCTCCCCATGGGGCCGTGTGATGTGTGTGTCGGAATGGGCGGGGAACCGCATGCGAACCTTGCCATTGGGGCCTTCGGTGGAGCTCCCTCTTGGGCCACGAAGCGTGTGAGGGGTGTGCCGAATCGGGCGGGGAACCGCATGCGAAACCTGCCGTTGAGGGCTTCGGTGGAGCTCCCTATGCGGCCACGAAACGTGTGAGGGGTATGCCGACATGGGCGGGAAACCGCATGCGAACCCTGCTACTGAGGCCTTCGGTGCAATTCCCTATGAAGCCACGGAACGCGTGAGGACTATGCCGAAATTAGATGGGAATCGCATGCGGACCCTGCCATTGAGGCCGTCAGTGGAGTTCACTATGGGGCCAGGGGCAAGGATGGGAGGAGAGGAGGGGGAGGAGGAGAGGAGGAAGGAGACGCGGGGCGCCGTCTTTAGAACGAAAACCCAACACCACAGGATGGTTGAGGAAGGAACGATTCACCGAAACGGCCTGGGCTGTCCAGGGATCGGAAGGACGTTCGGATTTGATTCGACAAAGTCTCGAATCAATGAAAAATATTGTGATTTGGACCAGGCCACCACCAGGGGAAGCGAATCAGTAAAACGACGCCGCTGGAAACGTAAAAAGACGGCACCAGAAAAGAGGCAACAGCTGAAAAACGGAAATGCTAGACAAGTGCCCCGTCGTGTCCATGGCCCACTACCCAGACTCCGTCGTCCCCATTTTTTCGAGACGGGCCCCCCGACCCCTCGACCACTTCCCCGGGATCGGTTCTGCACCCCGAGTTGTCTTTTGCCAGCCCGAGGCCCCGTCAGGTCCTCGAGCCTGGCATCGCTCGGACGTGTACATTTTTTCCTCGGCGAGGACCCTGGAGGAGCATCCTGGACGATCGAGCAACAAAAGACGCGCACGAAACCGAACATGCACGGGCAATGGACGTCCGAGCGACGGCACGCCGAGAGGCCGAACACCGTGGAAGGCAGCCGTCTCGAATTCCTTCGAGGCGCAGCTGTGCGCCGCGCGAGGGCCCACGGAGCCTCGGGACGGGCTGCCGGCGGGCCGCGGGCCCGCGGCGTGCTCGCGCCGCGCGCGGCCGAGGGGGCCTGCGCGCGTAGGGGTCTGCGGACTTGCCACTGCAAGCAGGAGGGAAAAAAACACACGGACACGATTGATCGCCGATCCCCAGAAAGTAGGGGGAAATATGGGAAGTGGTGGGAAAAACAAAAACCCAGAAAATATGGGACGGAGGTTTTTGACGATTTGTTTTATGACGTTCTGCGGTTTTTGACAATTTTCGGACTCCGGACGCCCTCGCCGGGCCTCGGGAGCGTCAGAAAACGGGGTGAGAAGTCGGGTCCAGGGAAGGTCTCTGGACTTCGGGGGGCCGACGTCGTGAGTTTCTCGCGGCGTCGGGGGTCTGGGCTGGCCAGGGGGGGAAAAAACACACAGACACAATTGATCGTCGATCCCCAGAAAATACGGTAAAATATAGGAAGTGGGGTGGGGGGGAAAGACAAACACCTAGAAAATATTTGAAAATCTTAGGAATCCAGGTATTTGTGTCTATTTATTTGTGTGTCCCAGGGCCTCTTCATTCAAGCAGTGGCGAGGCGTCTGGACCTGCCTGGGGCGTCTGGATGGCCGTCGGGTAGGGCGTCGGGTATCACCGAGCGCGTTCCACTACTCGCAAAGTGCCTACTCGCAAACGTTCGAAAAACAGATGTCGGCGTTGATGTACTTTTTCATAGATCCCCCGCGGCGTATCCAGGCCAGTTGCGAGTAGTCACTTTGCGAGTAGTGGAATGCGCTCGTCCAGGGTAGGGCGGCGGGTTGGTCGTCGGGTAGGGCATCGGGTAGGGCGGCGGGTTGGTCGTCGGGTAGGGCGGCGGGTTGGTCGTCGGGTAGGGCGTCGGGTAGGGCGGAGGGTTGGTCGTCGGGTAGGGCGTCGGGTAGGGCGTTGGGGCGGGCGTCGAGTAGGGCGTCGGGTTTGGGCGTCGGGTAGGGCGTCGAGTTTGGGCGTCGAGTTTGGGCGTCGGGTAGGGTGTCGGGTAGAGCGAGGGGGGGAAGTGAAAAGGAGAAGGCCTTCTCAGAAGGCGGCGGGACTTCTTAGAAGCCCTCGCGCCTTCTGAGAGGTTTTGTTTTTGTTTCTGTTTTCGGGGAAGGCTTAGAAACCAACTTCTCAGAAGGCTGGGGGACTTCTGAGCCTTCTGAGAAGGCCCGCCCTTTCTCACTTCCCCCCCGCGCTCGCCGCGAAAGGTCGTCGATGAGAGTGTTGGGGTAGCCGTCGGGTAGGACGTCGGGGAGGGTGTCGAGAATGACGTCGAATCTCAGGGCAACGCAAGACAAAATTAACCTCAGGCCAACCAATCAGGCAATTACATCATGCCAAAGCGTGGGTGGGCGCTAACCTCGTTTTTGTGGTCGGCCTTGGTTCGCGACATGGCTCTGGCTGACCCGGGTCAGCGTTGACTCAGATTCCCGCGCCCCTGAAGCCTCTACGACGGCGACAAGCTTGCTCCCCCTGGCCGCCTCGGGCCCTATAGCGTCCGAGAGCTGGCGAGACGTCATAGGTACCCAACCTTTGGTGTCGAAGAGGGGGCGTGCACAACTCGGGGGTGGACAGAACCCTTACCCTGACACGTCCTTTAGTGAATTGTCCGCTTGCGGTTCTCGAGAGGGCGCCGCGGCCGTCATTTTCCAGGCTTGCGGCCGCCAGGTTTGGGCCCGAGGTCATTTTCACTAAACCACGTTTTGCTAAAGGGGTTTCTGTCCACCCCCGAGCAACATCTTCTCCAAACGAAAAGGCGGGTAACTTTGTCTGCGCGGATGGCGTAATTAGGCGATCGCGGAGGAGGCCGTCTGCCGCGCGCTGCTCTCCGGTGATCGCCTTGCAGTTGGCCGTCGTGTTTCGGCTTTCTGGCTCGAGCACCAAGGGCGTGACCGAGCGAACACGAAAATGCTTCCGCGCGAGCACGAACTCGTTCCCGCGCGAAGGCTCACGTGTTCGCGGGAGCACGAGATGAGTCCCACGCGGGCACGAATTGAGGCACGAATTGTTGCACGAATTCCAGCACGACAGGCGGCGCGGCATGCCGCACGAGTTGCCGCACGAACATTCTTCTCTTCCAGCTCGTCCACGTGGACGATCCGGAAGAAGTGGAAATTCTTCCCCTCCCCCTCTTCCCATATGAATATCCTCCTCGTATTCTTCCTGCCCCTCCCCCCAACGTCAGCCGCAGCAATGCCCGGTCCTGTCCCTCCTCAGCCTCATCGAGTTTCTTTTTCTCCCTCCTCATATTCAAGTGGCTTGCGCCATTCCGAGGACGAGGGAGGAGGAGGAGAAGGAGGAGGAGGAGGAGGAGGAGGAGGAGAAAGAGGAGGAGGAGGAGGAGGAGGAGGAGGAGGAGGAGAGGAGGAGGAGGAGGAGGAGGAGGAGGAGGAGGAGGAGGAGGAGGAGGAGGAGGAGGAGGAGGAGGAGGAGGAGGAGGAGGAGGAGGAGGAGGGAGGAGGAGGGAGGAGGGAGGAGGGAGGAGGATGGAGGAGGAGCGCCGACCCCCAGAAGAGAAACGAATTTCACGGGTGAGGCCTTTTGTCTCTTGGGAAGCGTCTGCGGGGCCCATTGGAGCTTACTTGGGGCCGCTCGGAGCATCTTGGGGGTCTGTTGGGCAGAGCTGGACCTAAACAGTGTTTTTGGCGATTCCGTGGGCCGTTTTCGTTTCGACTTCGTTTTGCGATAAAGGCGGATTCAAGACAAAAGCGAGGGAAAACGAAAACAACACGAAAACGAAAAACACCGTTTAGGCTCAGCCCTGCTGTTGGGCACTTGCTGGCAGCCTCGGGGGTCCTCTTGGGTCGGAGGGCTCGAAATGTCACTGTTGAGGCACTTCTGGTGCCCTCTTGGGCCGTCTTGAGCGCTTCTGGGGCCGTTCTTGGGTGAAGGCTCGGAATGTCAGTTCGTCTTCTCTTGGTTTGGCTACTCTTGGGGGCTCTCTTGGGCCGTCCAAGGGGGCCCTTGGAGCCGTCTTAGGGGGCCTCACAGGCCGTTTTGGGGCCCAGGCCTCATTGGCCGTCTCGGGACGATCCTAAGGGCTCCTTGGGCCGTCTTGGACGCTTTCAAGACGGAAAGGCGAGTGTACCAAACAACGTGGTCCCACGGGGATGGGACGATGTTTGCTTCTCGGGGTTCTCGTGGCGACCTTTGGGGAACACTCTGCTCTGGGCCGTCCTGAGGGCCTGGTGGGCCGTCTCGAAGGCATTTTGGACCGTCGTAGGGCCCGGGGTGGTCTCGACGCCCTTTTGGAATGTCTTGGTGCGCAGTATTTGGGCTCTCTTGACCCTTCTTGGGGCTCCTTGGAGGCTTCGGAGGCTGCAGGGAGGCGCAGGAGAGCTTGTACACCGCCCCCCCCTCCTCAGCCAGGATGTTGGACCCCAGGGGAGGGGGGAAGGGGGGGGGACAGCCAATCATGTCTAACGCCTTGTCACCCTGGGAGTCATGCCTCCTCCTTCGGCTTCGAACGGCAGCAGAAGCGACGCCCCGGCCCCCCCCCTTCTAGAAGGCTGCCTCCTCGAAATCATTATCCTGCTCCTCCGCGGTTTCGTTGTCGAACTCTTATCTCCCCCTGGGCCTTCCCATCCTTTCCTCTCCCTCCTCCCCTCACCTCCTCCCCCCCCTCATCTCCTCCTCTCCCTCGGCCTCCCCCTCGGCTCGCTCCTCTCCTCTCCTTCTTCCCCCTCCTCCTCCCTTCTTCCCTCCTCCTTCCCTCCGCCTTCCCCCTCCTCCTTCCCCCTCCTCCTCCCTCCGTTCCTCCCTCCCCTCTCCTCTCCTCCTCCCCCCTCCTTCCCCCCATCCTCTCTCTCCCCCCCCCTCCTCCCCTCCCTCGGCCTCCTCATCCCCCCCCCCCTCCTCCCGTCCCCGGCTCCTCGCGGCCCGCCCCCGGTGCAGGCCTTCCCGGTCGCGCGTGGAGTGGCGCGACGACGGCGGCGGCCCCGCGGACGCTTGCGCCGAAGCGGCGGGGGGGGGAGGGGCGGAGTAGGATTATGTCGGGCGTGTCCCCCTACAGGGGGATTTTCTACAAAAAACAACAAATCCCCAACAATACCCCAAAAAGGTCCAAAAATACTAAAAAAATAGTACCTGGATTATGTTTGGATTATGTTTTTATTATTTTTGGGGTATCCTTAATTTTTCGTCGAAAATCCCCCTGTAGGGGGACAGGCCAGACTTAAGAGTAGGAGGACACAGCGGGAGAGGGAGGAACGATGGGGAGGGACAAGCTCAGGGGGGAACGCATCGACCCCGAATCGCCCCTTCACCGACGATGGGGGCCTGGTAATCAGCCCACTCCGCCCTGGAATGTGCGCTTTCCCAATCGAGGGTGGATCGCCGACCTATGGGCGATGCATGGCCGAGTCCAGCTCGTCGGGTTCCCCCCTGAGCTGGTCATCCCTTTTGTGCCCCGCCAGAGGAGGGACAAGAATACATCCAGGATCCAGGAGGCATCGCCGATGCTGCAGTGCAGACGGCCCGGATCAGTAGGTCGACCCTGCCAAGTCAAGGGTGCCCTTGTGCCCTGCGTCTCGCGACCCATGCCCCCTGCATTCGTATGGCAATGTGGCCCTCGGAAGGGTCTTGTTCAGGAGGGGAAAAAACACACAGACACAATTAATCGTCGATTCCCCAGAAAATATTGGAAAATATGGGAAGTGGGGGGGAAGACAGAAACCCAGAACATGTGGGAAAACATGGGGAATCTTTTTATCTGTGTGTATTTGCTTGTGTGTCCTGGCGCCCCTTCACTCGTGTCCTCGCCCTGCCGTCCCAAGCCCCCCTCCCAGAAGCCCCAACGGATACCCCCCTTAGGAGGTCCACTGCGGCAAGCGCCCCCCCCTTGAATGACCGGCGCCCCGCGGGCCTGTCCCTCGGGTGGCACCCCGTCTCTCAAAGGTGGCCGTCTGCCGCATGGGGCTCGTTGCCATGGCTAAGATGGCAGAGGATTGCGAGGTTTTGAAGAGAGCCTAGGGCAATCGAGCGACTTCATCCCGATGTTCGACCTTTGCGGCTCGTGTTTCGACCTCCCCCTCTCCATGTTCACGTTCCCCCAGGTTCTGACTTTCGTTCAGTTGCTCCTGATGTACAACCCGCCCCGCCACGGATCTTCAAGTCAATGATGCGCGGCTGCACGTCATTGCAGCGAAGAGGCAGGCTGGTCGAGATTCAGGGAGGTGTGTCCAGCGATGGCCCCGCTTCGACACGGATCTGCTCCCCATCTCTTGGGATCGCTCGGACGTGTGCTTTGTTCCTTCGGCGAGGACCATCGAGGAGCATCCTTGATCATTTCGCGAAGAATCCACGCACGAAACCATATAACAAAAAACACTGGAAATGGACGTCCGAGCGATGGCCAGATCTGCTCCCCATCTGTGAAAGGGTTGTGCCATAGCACTGGTGGCCATAACGTTTGCGGACGTCTCGGGCGAGGGCCCGTGTTTGCAAGGGAGCCGTCTCCGATCCGTGGCATAGAACTTGAGTTCCAGGTCGTAGAACTCGAGGAAGTCTCAGGCGATAGACCTGTCTTTGAAAACAAGCAAGTCCATTATTGCACGAGGGCTGCAAGTTTGTAGCACATGAGACGCATGTGCGGCGCTGGGGGGAGAGCCCCACATCCTTCCTGCTCCTCACCCCCATCTCCCCTTCCTCCTTCCCCCCCTCCTTTGCCGCCCTCCCCCCCGCGATAGCCTGCCTCATCACGAGGCACAGTTTTTCACCCTCGCATGCAGCCTGGCTTCGCCACGTGTTCGTAGCAGCATCGCTCGTGCGCACCAGCCTGCATAGCCGACAGGACAGGATCAGACCGTACCGACCCGGCGACGGGTTACACCACTCACTTTGCGCATACTTTTGTACCCCCCAGCCCCCATCAGCCTCCGACCATCGTGCCCCAGGATATGAACGATTGGTTTCCAGTTTATGTTGTTAGCATCTATGGTTCCATCGGTTTCTTGTTTGCCCTGGGTCTGTTTCCCCCCCCGCTCGGGGGTCGCAAGGGGTGCCCAGGCAACCCGCGACCGGCCGTCTGCATCATCATTCCCCCCCCCCAGCAGTCGATGAGATGAGCGATGAGATGACTACGCCATCGAGCCGTGTAGCCTAACCCGAGCAGACAGCACCAGTGCGAATGCGCACGCGCGACCCACAAACACACACACACACACCACGGCACGCACGCACGCACGCACGCACGCACGCACGCATGCTAGCACGCACGCACGCACGCACGCACGCACCCGCACACGCACACACACACACACACACACACACACACGCACGCACGCACGCACGCACGCACGCACGCACGCACGCACGCACGCACGCACGCACGCACGCACGCACGCACGCACGCACGCACGCACGCACGCACGCGCGCGCCGCTCGCTCGCTCGCTCGCACGCACGCTCGCACGCACGCACGCACGCACGCACGCACGCACGCACGCACGCACGCCACGCACGCACACACACACAAGCGAAATTCCCAAACGTATAAATTACACGCGTGAGCTTTGCTCGACTTGCTTTCGCTCGCGTGCCAGCCGGCGGCGCACGCGCGCGCGCGCGCCACGAGCGCGAGGCCCCGCGCGCCGCCCGCGCGCCGCCCGCGCCGCAGCCGCCTCGGCGGGGCGAGGGCGCGCCCGCGCCCGCCCGCAGGGGAGGCCCCGCGCGCCCTCGAGTGGGGGGGCGCGGGCGGCGGGCTCCGCGGCCACGGGAGGGGCCGCTGCCGGGGGGGGGGGCGAAGAGAATGGCAGGGCAGGGAAGGGGAGCGAAGGGAAGGGCAGGGAAGGGCAGGGCAGGAAAGGGAAGCCCCAGTGAGCCCCAAGAACCGAGGACCCCCGCCCCAGGAAGCTTCAGGAAGCCCAGGAGTCTCCAGCCAGCCCCAGGGAACCCCAGGAAAGATTGGAAAGCTCTAGGGTGCACCGAGGATCCGCAGGGGCTCCAGGAGGCAAGTCCCACGGAATCCCAGGGAGTCATGAAACTCCAGGAAGCCCCAGGGAGCTCCAAGGAGTCCATGGAGCCATGTGAAGCTCCAGGCAGCCCAAGGAGAGGAAGGGAAGCGAAGAGGAGGGCTGGGCAGGGAAGGGGGAGGAAAGCGAGGAGAGGAGGAGGCGGCGCTCTCGTCGCTTCTCGGCGGTGGATCCTCTAGTTTCTGGACGTTGTCCAGTCCGATGCTTGATGCTTCGGGCGTCTTCGTCGCTTCCCGGCGGTGTTTCACCCCCGGGCTGCTTTTTGGCAGCTGCGCCTCCCCGGGAGCGCCCTGGGCGGGAGACCCGAGCTGTGACCCGTGAGCCGGGCTCCCAGATCAGTGTCCCGGCTCGGCTCTTCGATGTCGGCCTCTGGGTCGGGGGCGGCAAAGAGGGGGGTGATGACTAGGGGGGGGTGGATATCATGGCGGGGGCCATGATATTTCCCCAGATTTCATGGCGCCTCTTCTTATTCCATTACGTCCCTGGCCCCCCCGCTGGGCCGCGCACATGCCGCCGGTCATGATTTGCACCCCCCCCTCTTGGACACCCCCCTCTTGGCCGCCCCCGACTCTGGGGCCCACCATCGTGTCCCATGACGGACCATAAAACAATGCACCCGGGGAGATAGATTTGCCCTTGTGAGCAGTCGGGGTCTCTGGGGCTGCACATTGACGAAACCACGTCGTCTGGCGTCTGGCCCTCCCTCCCCCTTCCCCCCCTGGTTCCATCTGGGGCACACTTGTTTTGCTGGTGTGTTTGATTGTCCTTTCCGCCTGCTCGCTGAAATTTGCCCATTTCCCTGCGCATGTGCCCCCCGTTCCATGATAGTGTTTCCCGTTCGTTGTGTCTGCGGCTCCTTGGCGGCGCCGTATGAGCTATTCTGCGTGGCCTCTTGAGCAAGAGCAGTTTCCATCCTCTTCCTTTTTGTTCCTTTCCCTCTCGCCACCCCGGCGGACGAGGGGAGGAGCAGGGGTCGGGAGGAGCTTCGCGGGCTGTCTAGCGGCGGATTTTCACACGGGGGGGGGGCATTCGTATGGCCGGCCCCTTCCCCGTTGCACCCGGCGGTTCTTTCCCTCTTCCATTTGTCTTGTAGTTCTCTTCGTTGTTTTCTGTCCCGTTCAGCCGACTCGCAGTTGTTCTTCATTTAAGTGTGTTCTTGCCTGTGTTGCTTGCCCGTGGGACCTCCCCGCCAGAGGAGGGAGGGGGGGGGAAGGGGCGGCGGGGGGGTCTCCTGGAGTCGGAGGTGGAGGGCCTTGGGCCACGGGCAACAGGTTTTGGACAGCTCTTGCAGCCGATCGCGAGACGTCGTAGCAGCGCCTTGCAGTGTTCCACGACCCAGGGGCATTCTACCAATTTTCTGAACGATCTCTGTCCGTAGTCGTTTTAATTAAAGCAGTTGTGGATCACGCCGTGTTCGTTCAAGTCATTCTGGCTATCGTTCGCCGTGTCGTTTGCATTGATTGTGGAAGTTTTCGCGCGAGGGACTTATGAATATCGTAGTTGTAACAGTACAGGTAGTAGTAGTAGTAGTAGTAGTAGCAGCACTAGTCGTGGTAGAAAGTAGTACCACCAGTAGTCGTCGTCGTCGTCGCAGCAGCAGTAGTAGTAGTAGTAGTAGTCGTAGTCGTAGTCGTAGTCGTAGTCGTAGTGGTAGTGGTAGTTGCAGTGGTAGTGGTAGTGGTAGTAGTAGTAGCTGTAGTAGTAGTAGAAGTAGTAGTAGTAGTAGTAGTAGTAGTAGTAGTGGTAGCAGTAGTAGTAGCAGTAGGAGTAGTCGTAGTAGTCGTAGTAGTCTCGTAGTAGTCGTAGTAGTCGTAGTAGTCGTAGTAGTCGTAGTCGTCGTAGTAGTAGTAGTAGTAGTAGTAGTAGTAGTAGTAGTAGTAGTAGTAGTAGTAGTAGTAGTAGTAGTAGTAGTAGTAGTAGTAGTAGTAGTAGTAGTAGTAGTCGTAGCAGTATGAGTCGTAGTAGTAGTAGTAGTAGTAGTAGTAGTAGTAGTAGTAGTAGTAGTAGCAGTAGTACTAGTAGTAGTAGTAGTAGTAGTAGCAGTAGTAGTAGTAGTAGTAGTAGTCGTCGTAGGCGTAGCAGTGGCAGGAGCACTAAAGGCAGCACCAGTAGTAGCAGTAGCAGAGGCAGCTGCAGTAGCAGTAGCAGTAGTAGTAGTAGTAGTAGTGGTAGTAGTAGTAGTAGTAGTAGTAGTAGCAGTAGCAGTAGTGGTAGTAGTGGTAGTAGTGGTCGTCGTCGTCGTTGCCGCCATCGTCGTCGTCGTAGTAGTGTTCGTAGTAAGTGCAGTCGT